CCCAAAAATGCAAATTGCAATTGTTTTCAAAGTGATCAGACTGTAATAATCAACAAAAGGCATCAACTGAATATCACCATAAGCTTCCACTTCTCTCCAGAGCTCCCAATTTACTTGTGCATTCTTGTCCTGCAGCAGTAAATTATCCAATATCAAGCGATAATAAATACCGAAAATTGTATAAAATGTGTGCATCAATGTCAGATCAAGAGCATACAAAAAAAATAATTAAAATAATCAATTATAAATCTAGACTAGCAACATTTATTTGTTGAGATCCTTTTAGCTTTACTATTGATTTTCTTTGTGAGAACTGCTTGTGACTTCAAAGCTGAAACATGTCAAAGTTAGATTGTCAAAAAACTGTATAACAGAGCCAGTAAGAACAGTCTCCAATGCCGAGCGGCTTATCCATGGGAGAAATCGGCATTGAAGACAATTCCCAAAAAGAACACATCTCGGTCATTAAATAAAATAAAAAGAAAAGTCGAAGACTTCAGATTATAGGCTAGAAAATGAGAAGAATAAAAGCCACAAGTTCATGGGAGATTCAGAGATTATAGGGTCAAAATAAACCACTATGAGAATCGCAGATTGCATCACTTACAAAGCCTATGAAAAATCGGACCGCTACATCACCACTACGTACAACCTCATATTGCATCCAAGTCCTTCTCAATGCCATACGACGCTTAAAATTATTTCCAGTAGAAAAAACCCCGACCAGCATCAGAAGTCTTTTCTTCGGAATAGGAGGAGCTCCAAGGTGGGAAGAGTTAATAAAATCATGATCTTCAAAGACTGGTAAGCCTTTAGCAAAGGAAGAGAGAAGATCCAGACCACCTGTTACCTTGACTTGATTGACTGTCCACGGTTCAAGTTTCTGCAGAATTTTCACGTAGCATTCCATAAGTTCAGCTCAAAATTGAAACATATTTATTGGTTTCATTAGTTCATCATATTAACAAAATGATTGCATAATTCATACCTTACCTCCCTATATTCAAATGAGGTTTCATGTCGTCCATTGACATTCATATGGAATCCTTCCAAACCAATCCACAATGTTGCAGTGAACAAATTCCCCTCTATGAATGGAAAGTTGGTACTTTCATGAGATTGCCCTCTGGAAACATTAGTTACGGTATTACCATTATTATGATGCATACTGATATTTTCTGCTCCTGTGCTTCGGAGAACACGCTCATTACAAAGAACAAGTCCATCAACTGCCACATTTATTTCCAAAATATATCAGCAACCAGAGGATATATTACTGAATTTCATCTGTAAGCAACAAAAGATACAGCAGACTGCATTTAAGATCAATCTATCAACAAGCCATGAAGTACTACACCAACTCCATATACATGCATAAGTCAAAACTCGAAAGCATTTTTTTAACTTTCTCAATGCCTGCATCCTAGAATAACACAGTAGGTTCTTATCATTATCTAATGTATCGTATGTAGAAAGACAAGAACTGATAGGTAATATAGACTCAGGTATATTCAGTTCGTGCAGAATATTACATTAATTTGGCTTCTTCACCTACACATAAGATGTGTTAATCTTGGCTGGAAATTTCATGGCAAATGGGCAACTGACAAACATGCCATCTAAATATACCTTGATGAGAGCTTGCTGACAGATGAGTTGGACATCTCTCCTCTTTGCCCCACTTAAGTTCATCAGTCCATGTATTTTGAACTATAAATGATTCCTCAGACATATTATCACCAGGCAAACTGACATTGTAATGCAAGATAATAGGGCGATTTGGCTCTCCGGAAGCCTGAGAGCCTAACAGTTCAATCTGGAAGCCCCCTTGCTGTCCATTAGGTATGCCAACAAGGGTTATAGAAGAATCCTCAACTAAACCACAAGGGATCTCAAGAACGATTCCCCCAGTTGGTGCAATTTTGTCAGGTGAGGTAACAGAGGAAGGGCATATTTCACCCTTCGACATATTGCCAACTATAATGGTCTTTTCTGCCTTAATAGCTGACAATAAATCATTCCACGCTGTGGAAGCCTCTTTAACTCCTTGTATTGTTTCAGGTAAAGCATCAGACCTCATCAGCAGGGGGTGCATATGAGACCACAGAAGTAAGGCCTCTGACGCTCGCTTTGTAATATTATCTGGAGCAATTAGATAACGAAGTCCTTCAATATGAATAAGATGAGGCCGCTCTGATGTTTTTACTACTTCAGCCTCCAAAGAGTCACTGTTTTTACTATGAGAATCTTTGGTCGGATGATTTCTGAAAAAATCATATGCCGATTGCTTTTTAGGCTGGATATTCATAAGGCCATAACGCAAAGCTAAGATTGTGGCAAGTGCCAGTATCAATGTTCCTCCATACCACCTCTTCATTTTTCTTCTCTTTTACAGTTATGATTGCTACCACTTCATTTTAAGAAACTCCCTGTGAATTACAAGAGGATGCTAAGCTCAGCACTTGAATTAAGCTTCAAATGATACATAATCATAATTGACACAAATCAAAATGGATCATCAAAATCTAGACTACCTCTGTAAGAAAATGGACTACACATGCGAAAATAACATGCATTTGACCGACACGGGCCTCACGGAAGGTTACAGCACGGAAACAAAACTCATATGCTGTCCAGAGCTTCTTGGTCCCAATTTCTCAAGTTATAGACACAAACCTAAATTTTGGACCAGATTTATACTATGAAGCTGAAAGAGAAACTACGATACAAGAACTCCTTTTCATTTGTAGCTACCAAGCAATCGACCAAAAGTGCTCGAACTGAGTAATGGTAGCTCTTAACTCACATGCACATTGGTATAATTTAAGCCAGGGGGCTTGTGAAAACCCAATTTCGCGAGAAGCACTTAGAACTTACAGCTTGTACAATTGAAGAATCCCTAAGGAAGGATCTTAACTACAAATTCAAGTACATATAGGAAATGAGCTAAAGCTAAACAGAATCCGAGTATCTAAGCAACATATTTGAATAAAAATAAAAATCAAAGCTATTGAAGCTATGGATTCTACTTCAAGCAACACTATCAGGCGCCAGAAATCGATTAACAGAGCGAAGGATCTAAACTACTAATTAAACTACATACAGGAAATGAGCTAAACTAAAACTAAACAGAAACCGAGTATCTGAACATCATATTTCAAGCGAAGTAGAAATTAAAGCTATTGAAGTTATAGATTCCACTTCAAGCAAGACCATCAGGCAACAGCAATCGATCAACAGTGCGAAGCAGAGCCGTAGAGATCTGCTGCAAAAATCAATACCTTGTGAGTCAGAAGGTAGAAGTAAAAGCAATGTGAACCAGCCGTTCAAATGGATCTTTCTTTTGAGTTCGAAAACGGAAGAACAGAGGAATAGAAGAACGAGTCCGGTGATCGGAAGCTGATATTTGTCGGCAGTTTGTTGGTCGGTAATGAGGCAGAGGCTACCATGAGAGACCATTCGCTGACAAAACGATGAGCGGTGCTGCGTTTTATTGGACCATTTTAGAGTAGATAGAAAAAATAATTCGAAAATAAAAAAAATAAGGGGCATTCCGAGAATTGAACTCGGGACCTCTCGCACCCTAAGCGAGAATCATACCACTAGACCAAATGCCCTTGTTATTCCGGTGATTGGAAAGTTAAAAATTTGTTGGTTGATAATGAGGCAGAGGCTACCATGAGAGATTATTCGCTGACAAAACGACGGGCGGTGCTGCGTTTTATGGGACCATTTTAAGAAAAAAAATCATGGGGCATTCCGAGAATTGAACTCGGGACCTCTCGCACCCTAAGCGAGAATCATACCACTAGACCAAATGCCCTTGTTGTCACATGCCTTTTCAAAATTGTTATTGTTACTTAATAGTTTTCTGATATTGCAAAATGAATAAGATATTTGTTAAAGATTTGATTCCCACGCTTACATTTCTTCAACTAAAATTAAATTAACATAAATGAATGTCATTCAATGACGTAGACATAAAAGGCTAAATAGAAGCATGCTCCAACATTTTAATATAGCAAAATTCACGTCGTGACGTCATGAGATATGTGAGCAATATATAAGAGGAATCTCATGATACCATCGTACCTCGAGTATTAAATTAGTCAAGCAATAGGATGACAAGTCTCCATTTATGGAGCAGTGAAAGCAAATGGATACACAAACGAGACATGGTAACTAGTATTAAAGCCCAACATCGGGCAATGTGCTAGTGAGGACGTTGGACCCCAAAAGGGGTGAATTACACGATCTCACATCGGTTGAAGAGGAGAATGAAGCATTCCTTATAAGGGTGTGGAAACCTCTCCCTAGTAAACGCGTTCTAAATCCGTGAGGTTAACGTCGATACATAAAGCAGACAATATTTGAATATGAACTTGAATGAGTATAAACTTCCGACATGCCTTCCACATAAGAAAGAAGGAAACAAAAATCTAAATCTCAAGTTATGAAGCATTCCTCAAGAAACAAACTTCATTCCAAGAAGAACTTGAGACAGTACTAATCCATATGAACTCATCAACTTCACAATTATAAGATCTAAACCATTATTTCCCTAAATCAAGAATCACAAACATCACAGCATGTTAACTACACCCTTGTATAAGCTTTCAAAATCATCTTCTGCATCAGAAACATAGACAAGCTAGCATGTTAACTACACCCTTGTATAAGCTTTCAAAATCATCTTCTGCATCAGAAACATAGACAAGCTCAGATGATGATGGTTTTGTTATTACCAGTTTACTTGTCTGAACCCTTGTATAACCTCTGTGCTGCTGATTGCTTGTAAAGCTGCACAAAATGATAATTTTGGTTTCTAATGAGCAAATCTCATCGTTCCTGCTGATTGCTTGTAAAGCTGCACAAAATGATAATTTTGGTTTCTAATGAGCAAATCTCATCGTTCATCGTTTCGAATTAGTGTAATTTGTGTTTGGCTGCACACTTGTTTCCCTGCAGTCACAGAAGTAAACTCAACTGGACCTTAAGGATTCAATTGTTCAACATATTCCGATCTCATGTTATTTGAAACTCAGGTATCAAAGCACAACATTATTGTAACCAGAGCAAAATGGAAGCTAAAAGACAGCAAATCTGTATTTGAAACACTTCGAACCCTTCACTGAAGGGAGTGACAAGGAAAATGAATGACTCATGAAAGTCATTCCAAATCTCCTTTTGATAAAAATGACATAAATTAAGGGAAAAAAAATGGAAGAACACCCAGTTTAACCGCTTATATATGAATCGGCTTGTCGTAGGTCGCCATAGCAGCTTCCTTCAGTGCCTCACTCATTGTGGGATGTGCATGGCAAACACGGGCTATGTCCTCACTTGAAGCATCGTATTGTAGAGCTATGGCTGCCTCATGAATCAGCTCCCCAGCATTGGGAGCCATTATGTGTACTCCTAATATCTTGTCTGTTTCCTTTTCAGCCAATATTTTGACTAAACCTTCAGCATCATCAATTGCCTTGGCTCGACTATTTGCCATGAATGGAAACTTCCCGACACGATAAGAAACCCCAAGTGCTTTCACCTGCTCCTCTGTCTTTCCAACAGAAGCGACCTCAGGATGGGTGTATACAACCCCAGGAACCTTGTCATAGTCCACATGACCTGTCTTACCAGCTAAAAACTCCACACAAGCAACACCGTCTTCTTCGGCCTTATGAGCTAACATTGGCCCAGGAATTACATCGCCAATAGCATAGATTCCAGGAACATTTGTAGCAAATCTATCATTTACTAAAATCCGACCGATCTTATCTGTCTCCACTCCTAACTTCTCTAGTCCAAGTCCAGAAGTGAATGGAGTTCTACCAGCAGACACAAGAACAACATCAGCCTCAAGAATGGTCTTGTCCCCACCGGCTGCTGGCTCAAGGGTCAGCTTTACTCCATCTCCAGATGTGTCAACTCCGACCACCTTAGTTTTGAGCTTGAATTTCATTCCTTGCTTCTCTAGAGAGCGCTGAAATTGCTTGCGAACTTCTGCATCCATCGAGGGAACAATATCAGCAGCAAACTCAACAACAGTTACCTCTGAGCCAATTCGTCCCCATACCGAACCCATCTCAAGGCCAATGTAACCAGCGCCAATGACCACAAGCTTTTTGGGAATTTCAGACAAAGCTAAAGCTCCTGTAGATGAAACAATTCTTTTCTCATCAATGGTGATCCCAGGTAAGGATTTGACATCAGAACCAGTGGCAATTATGATATTCTTTCCTTTTACAACCGTGTTTCCCCCATCAACGGTGTCAACAGAAACTTCAGAAGGGGAGATCAGCTTTCCATAGCCTTTGACATAGTTCACTTTATTCTTCTTAAACAAACCTTCAATACCTCGGGTAAGATTAGCTACTGCTTTATCTTTCTGGGACATCATGGCAGGCAAATCAACCTCAAGAGAAGAAAACTTCACGCCATGTTTTGCAAATGCATGCTTAGCTTCATGATACATGTGGGAAGAATGAAGAAGAGCCTGAAAATATTAAAATAAACCACAATCCATAAGTTAGAGACTTGGACTTATCTCTGATATGATCTAAATGTTGAAGTAATGGGAGCTGTCAGTGGTGAGCAATAACGAGTTGCCCTTAATAAATCATCAACATTATTAGAAAAGATATGCCATGCTTAAAACAACACCCATCATTTTAGATTCAAAACTCCATTGCTCCATCAGTCAATATCATAAAACCCGATAGAAATTCAATCCTTTCTTCGTCAAAGGTTAGGAAAAAGTTGCAACACATTTCCTAGAGGGAAAATAGTCGATTATACAGCACTGAAGAAGTTCAAAATCTGAATTCCAACAATAGATAAGAAAAAACTGAAATACTCGACAAACTAACAATCATATTTTAATGCAATCTACCTGAATAGACAATAAAAAAACCAAACTAATACGAAATCAAACGACAAAATTTCAACAAGAACTACCGAATCAGAAAATTCAATAACCAACACAAAACAAAATTATGAAATAGAAAAAGAAATCGCCTAAAAGAATCAAGAACCAAACAAAGAAAATTCAGCAGCAAGGAAATCACCTTGGAGGGGATGCAACCAACATTAAGACAAGTACCGCCAAGAGTCCCACGCTTCTCGATGCAGGTGGTCTTGAGTCCAAGCTGAGCAGCCTTGATGGCGGCAACATAGCCTCCGGGGCCGCCGCCGATGACGACGACATCATTTTCATCAGATCCCGATGAAGCGAAACCCCGAGAGAAGGTCAACTTAAGAACATCCATGGAGGAAGAATGGGACGCATTCCTGGAGAAGAAGAAGGCCTTTCGTCTAGCAAAGCTCGCCATAGCCATGGTTGATTGGAAACTCGATCGAAACCCCTACAGAGTCTCTATACAGTGGAGGATTGAAATGGGCGTTTCTAATCTTCCTTTCTTCGTGCCTCTGACCGAACCCCTAAATAGAATAATAATTTGGTTTGTAAATTGGTCGACGATGGCTACGTATATTTTGGAAATTTAAAATATTAAATTAATAAAAATACTCTTTTAACACCTTTAATCTTTATTTTTAAAAAAATAAAAAAAAAATCAATATACATACGTGTCTTTTTTTAAATTTATGATTATTTTTTAAACTTAGTACTATCTATTAAATATATTTTTGAATTTTTAAAAAAAAAAAGATCAAAAGTATTTTTTAAAGTATTCAAAAAGAAAATTATGATGGTTTGTTTTTAAATTTTAAAAAATATTTAGATTATTAATAAAAATTTTGAAAGCTACCCACTATTTTTGAAACCTTTCTAAAAGGTCATAGGGTGTTTTTGAAACAAAATATTAGCGGTTTCTATCCAAAACTAACCGTTAAAACTTATTTTTAAAATTTTTTAAAAAATTAAAGTATAGTAGGTAAGGTGTATTTAATAATTTAATTCTATTAAAAAAATGGGTAAATATCCTAAAATATCAAAAGACAAAGGGATGGTAAGCCCATATTTGAGGAGGAAAAAAACAACATTATCTTATAGTGTGAAGTTCACAAAGAGGTAAGATGGTGGCCTCACATGGTCTACCATCACACACAGGATGTTTGGTGGTGAATGGCCCAATCCAAAAACAAATCTCCAATGCAATGGATGGTCGAAGCTCGTTTGTCTCCTGATTCATCGTCTCAATTCAATTTAAAAAATGGAACATTCGCTTAAATGTGTAAAACTTAAATTTATCGGGAAATGACAAACTTATAAGTTCAAATCAGCTTGAACGGCTTAATTCTATAGTATTTCGTTGTTAACATGACTCGTAAGATATGAACTCTTGAACAAGTGACTGTCGTGACATATGAGTAAAGTTTGTTGTACCTTCAAATTTAAGAGTTCGAGATATAAAGATTTTTCGACGCATTTTTAGCAAAATAACTAATGCTAGCAATAACTCTCCTCAAAGTACTTTCTCAACCATTTTAGCATATGACACACTCGGATATCAAAGTTGCCTATGTTAAGACTGCGTAAGCAAATAGTAAGAGGTTTTTTCCCGCATTGTCAAGGTCACTCCTTTCTTCCCATAATGGAGATTAAAATCACGTTTAAGAAGATATAACCAAACACACGAGTCTATTAAGTTAAAATCATTTCAATAAAAGCTTTTAAGGGGAAAAAAGATACTACCGAAGATCTCTCGAAGCTTTTTTAGTTAACTCTCATGGCTAGCCAATAACAAAAGTCGAAAAAGTGTGTTCGAGTTGAGTAAAAATACATTCATTAATACATAAAGCTTAGAGGAATTCTGTCCAACATCAACTATAATGAAATCTAACAGTGTTGATCAAACAAATTTTCATTTTCCATGCCGAAACCAATGAAACAAAAAGGTAGAGAATGAAAATGAAGAGGCAAGGCTTTCATTAAGCATTCAACAGTAAGCTACGACATGAAGAGCTAAGTTGCGTACCAAATTACAAGGGCTGACCTCTGTGTACAATTTGAAACAGTGTACAGAACACAGCAGTGGGAAAGCTTTGAATCTTCACTCTTCAGCTGGAGGAACATCGTTCAAATCTAAACCCTCTACGGGCAACTCTGGGGTCATTGGTCCCAATATTCCATCAGTAGTCAAGGTCAATCCACTCTGTATGGTTAAGAAAACAAGTCACCATTTAGGTTCAAATTCAACGATATAAAGTCCGCTGCAAAGAGAAATGAAGGACAACAGAAGATTGAGAACAAGATTCAATATACGAATAACCAATTCAATGCTGACTTCTGATAGCATGAGTGAGTACTTAATTTTGAATGACATCAGAGAGCACTAATTTCTTGTGAAGTGTTACGAATCACGGACCTCTACAATGATATGATATTGTCCACTTTGAATATAAGCTCTCATGGCTTTCCTTTTGGTTTTCTCAAGAGGCCTCATACCAATGGAGATATATTTCTTACTTATAAATCCATGATCAACTTCTTAATTAGCCAACGTGGAACTCCTCTCCCAACAATCCTCAACATGAAACTATTTCCATAACAACCTTCGAAAAAGAACTTAATAGCACTTCATTGGAAATGAAAAAGTATAGTTATGAACGCTTCTAATATCTTATAAAGGATACTTTTAACTAGTCCAACAGTTAAGCTTAATACACTTTTGAATTATAGGAGTATCCAACAATATCTTATAGAAATCCTCCTAAATCATAGAATATCAACCAAAAAATATAAGAATATCCAAAAGAGTACAGCCCATTGTCATTTCCTAATCAATGATGACAGTCCTTTCTATTCTATAGTTCTACATCATTGTCTTTCTATTTGACACATAAAAAGAATGAGTATTGATGCAGATTGTTATCAAGTTGTTGTGAGATCCCCCATCGATTGAGGAGAAGAACAAAACATTCTTTATAAAGGTGTGGAAATCTCTCCCAAGTAAACGCGTTTTAAAACCCGAAAGGAAAAGTCTAAAGAGGACAATATCTGCTAGCGGTCCACAACTGCAAAATTGGACTTTCATCCCACATTGCAAGTACCCAATGAAGTAGAAAGGATGTACGTTTCTTTTCTTTTTTCTTTTTTTTTTTTTTTCCTTTTTTTGGCAAAGGAACTGATGAACTTTCCACATTTTGGTTTAGAACTACAGCATGTAAAATTTAGTTGCATTTATCATTAACTTGGTACGGTTTAGAAATCTCAAGGATAGATCGCTGTGAAGTACCTCAGGCTGAAACTTAAGCATGTCGGCACGTGCCATTGCCTCTGCATAGGCTATTCTTTGCCTGAAAGTTTGTGCCATCTCCTCAGCCTGTAAATAGAAACAAAATTATAGTTACAATATACCTCTAGCAATTTTTCATCTTTTTACCTTCTTTTTTAGTCTACTATTTGATAGGAAATGAACTCGGAATTGGAAAAAAAAATGAAGATAAGGTTTTACCCCAACTGAGGCCACAGGAGGTTTCATACAGCCCCCCTCCAAAAACTATTACAAATACTCCTATCAAGTGCGCTCTTACAAAAGGCTATACAAAACACAAGGATCCAGGAACTCTAATATCTCTCTATTTTCAAAATAGTTACTACCTTTTATATCCAAACATACAAAAATAGAGCTTTACAAGCATTCCTCCATATGACGCTAGGTTTTGTTTTCAACATTTCAAGGGATAACCACTAAAAATCTATAAGAGAAGTCTGATATAATCATAGTTTTAAAATGCTGAAAACAAGACGGAAGCACATGCTACCAGGGATGAAGGCAAATTAGCATTAGTTAGTAGTTTCCTCTACCCTACCATAGCACAAGAACTTGGGCATATGAAAATTTGCAATTTAACTAGTAAAAATTTATCATTATGGTAACACTGTAGCAGAAAGACCATAACCACGTTCTTGTGCACGTCTTACGAAAAAAAGAATCAGCACTGGTACAAAGTGACAGAAAAGATAACTCTAACTAGCAAAGAGAATACCTTCTCAAAGACAAGCTTTGGATTGCGAATCATGTCCCCTGGAGTGGGCTCTAATTTCTTGGTAGAAAGACTAACTCGGCCTCTCTCACGATCATGGCTCAATATCATGACCTATGCCAGAATAACTCATTGTAAGACTTGGGAACATGAGTGTGAGAAGCCTTATAAATCACTTGAAGGCCATTAAACTACCTTGAGAGTGTCTCCAGGCTGAAGAACTGTTGCAATATCTGATATCCGGTCATGACTGATTTGACTGACATGAAGAAGACCATTGACTCCACCAATGTCAATGAATGCACCATAAGGTTTAAGGCTTTGAACTGTCCCAATGACCACTGATCCAATTCCAAGCTGTGCCTGGCTGTCAGCCACGGCCTTACGGTTACTAAGGACAAGCCTTGATTGTTCTTCATCAACCTCCACAAATTTCAAAGGAATCTCTTTCATGAGAAGCTCTTCAGCAGTTGATTTCTGATTAATTGCATGAACATAATGAAAAAAAGAGGTATGATGTTAATTGCCAGTATATAACTAAAATCAAGGAAACTACTATAGTCCTTGACACCAAAAGGGAAAGTAATTCACATATAGAAAAGAGAAGAGTATATCGTAGGTATCCAATACTTTGTTAAGGGAAGGGAGTGAAAATCAGCATGACCTTTGTAAATAATAAAACCATTCATCAATTAACAACTGTGAGAAACTAAAATGCTTTACTCCAACAGAAACTATAATCTATTACATATACATAAAGCGAGGAAATCTTTCAAAATGTGAAAGTCATTAATAGCTAATAGAAAATACCGTCGATATTTGTGAGAAAGGGACGAACCCTCTTAGGCCTTCCACAACTGCCACAACTCCACCTTTGTTTGCATCAACCACCTGAATATTGAACACAAAAGAATGGCTACATATGAATTTTTAAGTATCAAACAAAAATCAAATTTATTGCAATCTATCGGCCTAAAATTTTGGGTTTAGTGGAAATTTAACATAGTATCAAAACTAAGTTGAAGTCCTATGTTCATAGTAAGCCTATCAATTCAAACTTGAGTTTAGTGGTGATTTTAAATTAATCATACCAGGAATGTTATAGTACTTTATAGTTTCTTATTACACGACTAGACCTCGATCCTACACCAATACTTCAAACAAAAAGATGAACAAAAGAACCACAAATTGGATGGAAATACCCACCTTACCCTTGACAACAACATCCTCTGCTTGAAGCTGTCTGCACCTCTCCCAAGCCAGGTCATATTGGATGGATCTTAAGCTCAAAACCAAGCTATCATCAGCTTCATTCTCACCAATAATGACAAACTCCTGTCTCAAACCAGGATATATTCCTGCTTCTTCAACATGTTTTATTCTGTGAATGCAAGCCTCCTGCAATGGCAAGTATGCAGAAGACTTGGCAGTAATGTCAACGAGTGCTCCATTGGAATCCGTACAGAACACAGTACCTTTCACCTGAAGA